CACAGGTGCATTTTAATCGTGATGGGTCCCTGATAGTGTCAAGTAGCTATGATGGTCTCTGGTAAGTGGTTATTTCTTCAGTAACATTTATTATGTCCCACAGCCTTCTAGGCGCCTTACATAAAAATAACTTTAAAAAATGTAGATTCTTTTAGTTTTTCACTTCTTATATCATGACTTTAAGGTTAAAATGTAAACTTGTAAGTTGATGATATAATACATTCCATAGCTACAATAGTGACTCATGTCTGTCTCTTTTTTTGTTAAAGTCGAATCTGGGATACAGCATCAGGCCAGTGCTTAAAAACACTGATTGGTAAGCAGGCAAACGTGTGTATGTTGTTCTTGATTCTCTCTGCTGTATTATTGTATAGAATATGAAATACTCAGCGTGACTTTGACTGCACTTAGGTGGTTTTCTTATTGGCTTTGATTTCTATTTTCCTTCTCCTTACACTGTCCTCTTCATACTTGCAGTTGATTTTAGGGGAAATATCCTCTCTCACGTGTGTAGGAAACTTTCTTAGGCTTGGAATATTGCCCAGTGTGTGCTGACAATAAATCTAAGTACCTGTACTACAGGGTTTTCCACTTGTCATTGTAGTATTATGCCTGGTTGTGCGTTGGCTTGGAACTGCTGTGGCAAAAGTAAGTCTTATTTCACTTTCAGAAATGATAGCTACATACTCCAATGCAATAAATAGCACATGGCAGTGGGAGAAGACTAAATGTGTTTACAATTTAGGGTTGCAGGTGTTTGAGAACTGGTGTCCTTCTTAAGACAGTGGGCAGCCTGTTGAACAGTGCATGTCGTGCCTCTGATTGCCAGACTCTAGTGTTGACATGAAGTGACATAGGCAAAACTACACCTTCTGGTGTTCACAATGGATATACTTTAGCAGTAGGGTGTGTCTTAGCCCTGGTCCACACTGGTGGGGAAGGGGATCAATCTAAGTTACGCAACTTCAACTACATGAATAACATAGCTGAAGTCGACGTACTTAAATCGACTTACCATGATGTTTTCACCGCGGTGAGTCGACTGCTGCCACTCCTCCGTCGACTCTACTTGCGCCTCTCGCGGTGGTGGAGTACAGGAGTCTACTGGAGAGCGCTCGGGGGTTGATTTACCATGTCTAGACTAGATGCGATAAATCGATCCCCGCTGGATCGATCGCTGCCTGACGATCCGGCAGGCAGTGTAGACAAACCCTCAGTGTAATGGTTTTATGACTAAGGCCCTAATCTTGGGATGATCTTCAAATAGTTGCAGACAAGACATAGAAAATTGCAGAAATGTAATAATGGACCTTTATTAATAGCAGTAATTTGGAAAAAGCCAGAGTAGACATAAGAATGGCCATACTGGGTCAGACCAAAGGTCCATCTAGCCCAGTATCCTGTCTTCCGACAGTGGCCAATGCCAGGTGCTTCAGAGGGAATGAACAGAACAGGTTATCATCAAGTGATCCATTCCCTGTCACCCATTCCTAGCTTTTGGCAAAAGACCTACTTGTTTAAGGAAAAAAAAATATTGGAAGGATATCAACACTCAAGTATTATGTTATGCCTGCTATTTTTTTTTATAACCATACATTTTGCTGCAACAATACTACATTCATTATTTTAAAAAAGTGACTGCTACAATATAAAATTCCGTGACTAAAATTCAGAAGACTAAACAAGTGCTGTAGAAATTGAGTCCAATCACTTTAGCCTTTAACATTTTACAGGCATTAAATGTTAGTACAGTACTATTTGCATACTCAAAACGCATGCAAAATTGTGGACAGTGCAAAGTAAGCGAATTAAAAACAAAATTGTGGTGGAAGCTCAATATTGCATGTTCCACAATCTCTCAAATGAAGTAGGGCCTTACTTCTGACTTTTACAGCCACACTGTGGACTCTAGGGAAGGTTGATGCAGGAGTGGGAAGGTTGGGTAATAGACGATTATGGAATAATAAAATGCTAGCAAACCAAATATTCTTCCTCTTGAACTATTTCACATTACCACTTTCCTGTATCTCCCATCAGTTTGCTTGAAGTATAAAATGGTAGCTGAACAAAAATGTAACTAAACTAAACTTGAAGTTGGCTTTTGTAATCGGCGGTAGGTGTGTTTTGTCACAAGAAATTCTTTGTCCATGAGAGAAATATTTCACCATATTCTGCGTAACACCCTTGTATTTCCAACACAGATGATGATAACCCTCCGGTGTCTTTTGTGAAATTCTCTCCAAATGGCAAATACATACTAGCAGCAACTCTGGACAAGTAGGTATTCAAAAATACATTTAAAGTGCATTCATCAACTTCAAATGTAACCTTTTATATGCTATTGTAATATTCTTATGATGGGTAAACTCATACCTGCCATCAAACTTCTATAATCCGGTCCTCTGGGAATTCTATTGTCAGAACATCAGCAAAGTTCATGCTATTGGCAGTCTTAGCACTGCTGTTGACATACCCCCGTGCACTCTTAGCTTTGCGTCTTTTCAGAGCCTTCATCATGAAGTAGTTCCTTGATCAAACGGTTCTCTTGCTGTAACACCATGAAAGGCTGCGAGTCTCTCTCTCAAAGGCAGCAATGCTAAAATAGCTGTGCATACAAAGCAGAAAAGCTATGCAGGGGGATTGGTTCTATTGAGAGTTCTCCGATTGGAATATTTCCAGTGCCACTGCTTAGCAAAGGCCAGCCACTCTCCCTTCTCCACCCTTAAGTATTAATTGCTGCTGGTGTAATGAGACCCTCCCATCCCTAAGTCACAGGGTGATGAGCTAGTTATCTATGAATGTCTTCTTATAAAAGACATTACAGGATTGTTCCTTCTCTTTTCATCCGGTGAGTGCAAGGAAACCCAAAATTAAGGCTATTTTGCAAGCCAGAGCAGGGGAGTCAACATTGTTGCCTCATACTTGAATATGAGGTGGGTGGGTGGGTGAGAGAGAGAGAGAGAGAGAGAGAGAGAGAGAGAGACCTATATCTGTCTAGAAACCAGT